GACGGATTGCGGGCCCGGCCGAAGCGCGCGGCGCGAGCCCGGGCCTGACCGCAAGCTGCGCCGATCGAAGGCCTCCTGAGCTCGCGCCGACCGCAGCCCTCACGTAGACGACCCCGGTCATTCTCTGCACGCACCGGGTGCCGCCCTCGCCGATGTGCAGATGGCAGGAAGTCAGCCGGCAGCCCGCGCGCGCCCGCCCGCCCGAGGCGCGCCTCCCCGACGCCAGGGTGTGCCCCGAGTGACCGAGGAGCTGGGCTGGCTGCGCGGTGTGAGGCCCCGCTGGCCTCGGTCCTGCCTCCCCCGCAACACCGCACCGGCTCAGACCCCGCGGCCCTCGAGCAGAAGCAGGGGGCAGCCCCGCCAGGACGAGGCCGCTGTCCCGAGTCCGGGCACATCCTGCCCGCGGTCTGCCTGCCCCCTCACTCCCCATTCTCGCACACAGAGGTGTGGGCTGAGGCCTGCGCCCGACGGCTGGTCTTGGAACTAGCAACTCCAGCCTCCACGAGAGTCCCAGGCAGAGACGCAGGGGCTGCTGTCGCGGGTCTCTGCCTGGGCCCTGCCGGCCTGGTGCCAGCGCCATCTCCAGGCACTGCAGGCTGCAGACGCACTTTATTTTTTAAGATTTAATTTTTTATGTCTTTATGCACAAGAATGGGGCGCGGGCCAGAGGAGCGGGGGTGAGAGGACGCCCCAGAGACAGTGGGGAGGACAGCAGGCGGGTCCCCTGAAACCCACTGCCAAGGGGCTGCGAGGAACCAAGGGCCTTCTGCCCTCTGGTCACTCGCTGGCCGTGTGGACGGGGGCTCAGCGGCTCCATGGTGCTGGAACCCCTGAGACTGTGGACTTCTCCCCAGGGGTGTGGCCTGGAGTTCAAGCCCTGGCTCATAATCTTACCCCTGGAGCTGGGAGGTTTCGTTTTTCTCATCGGTAATGTAAGGACAAAGGTAAAATTTACCTAAAGGGCCTCCCTGGGGGCGCAGAGTGCTGAAGGGCAGCATTGAGAAGCTAAAGCCGTTTCAGCACAAGTTCGATCCCTGCCTGCCCCGGAGGTGACCACAGGGCACCACAGCCCTCTCCTGACCCGCCCGCTGCTCCCTCAGCAGTGGACTTCGTCCATCTGCCTGTTCTGCTCCCCACTGTGTCTCTGGGGAGTCCTCTCATTCTCCCCCTCTGGCCTGTAGCCCAGCTCAATGTGCATAAATAAATCTTTTTCTAAAATTTAACTAAGGAAAACAGAGGTTATGGCGAAGGCCAGATAAGATTTGCATTTGTGAAGTGCCATTGGGTGCCTGGCACGTGTAATGCAGCGGCCGTGGGCGCTGCGCAGGGGGAGCCGCGCTCAGGGCGGCTCCCTCTCGTCTGCCGCCCATGCATGGCGCAGGGCCCCATGGCCGCAGCCTCCAACAGCTCAGCCACCGCTCAGCCAGCCTGGGCCCTGTGGGCGGGGGCGGGTGCTGGAACCCACCGGCCCGTGGCCGCCAGCCCTGCGGCTCCTCCGCCTGGGGCCTGGACGCCACCACAGCCCTGCTCTCCCCGCAGAGGGCGGGAACCGCTACGAGGGCAGCTGGCAGAGAGGCATGAAGAACGGCCCCGGGCGCTTCTTCCACCTGGACCACGGGCAGCTCTTCGAAGGCTTCTGGGTGGACAACGTGCCCAAGTGTGGCACCATGACCGACTTCGGCCGCGACGAGGCCCCGGAGCCCACCCAGTTCCCGATTCCCCAGGTGGGCGGCTCGGCGGGCAGGACAGGGCAGCCGTCCCCTACACCGGGCAGGCGGAGCAGCACTCCGGCGCCACACCCAGCCTGGCCAGGCAGGCCCGGCCGGGAACAGAGGTGGTTTTGTTTTCAGTCAGGTGATCCCGAGTCAGGCAGCACCCCAAGGCTGGCAGCACCCCAAAGCCGGCAGCCCAGCCCTTCTGTGCTCCCAGTCCACCCCTGGCTGCCTCCCTACAGGTCAAACTGGTGGACCCCGACGGCGTGCTAGAAGCAGCCTTGGCCTCGTTTAAGGCGCCAGAGAAAGCAGGAGCCTGATGTCAGGTGAGGCCTCACCTGCTGCCGCCTCTAGCTGGCCCAGGCCGCGCCCAGCCCGGATGCTGCAGCAGGGGCAGCGGCGGAGGCTCCCTTGTGAGTGCCTAGCAGCCGCGGGTCCTCAGTTCAGATGGGCGTCCATTCCCTCCAGCGCTGCCCAGACCGGCCTGTGCGGACCCGGGCTGCCCAGGGGACAGCTTGCAGCCAGAGGTGCGCTCTTCCAGCCCCGCCCCACCGAGTGGCGTGAGAGCAGAGTTTCGGCCCCGCCCCGCGAGAGCCGGTCAGGAGCGCGTGAGCCCCCTGCCCACGCCTCCCAGGGCGTTGCCTGAGCGGCCCACAGCCGACACCGCCCACGCGGGCCTGGGACTCCCGTCACCCCCGGACTCCAGCCCTGCTCTGGAGAATAAAGCGGAAGCCGGTGGCACTCGCCTGGGCCGTGGGGTGACACCAAAGGTGGGGGCTCACTCCCAGTCACTGCAGAGATGGAAGACTCACCAGAGGGCAAAGGCGCGCGGGGCCTCGGGGCGCAGTGTGGGATGTACCGAGGCCGTGAAGCAGGCTGGGGTCCCAGGCCGAGCCTGACCCAACACAGGGCTGGGGTCCCTCGCATGGGGAGAGGCGCTGGGGGCCCGGGCCTCCGCTGTCAGCGCCATCCTGTGAGGGGCAGCGGAAGCCCCGGGGCCTTCCCCGGCCATCTGGCCGGGTGGTGGCTGCGGGCCAGTGCTGCGGTGCTCACCGCTCGCCAGCGGTGTTGGCCAGCGCCCTGAAGCGGGGGCACTCGCCGGGCCAGCACGCACCCGCGAGCGCCCACACCGCAGCGTGGCGGCTACCGCAGGGGCGGCCTGGCCCTGGAGACCCGCTGTGCCCAGCATGGGCGGCTGTCCTGCGCACGAGGCCACTGCGGGAGGCCAGTGGCCGGGCGCCTGAGGCTTGGCCGGGAGGGCTCCGTGGCCAGCAGGCGGGTGCTGGCCTGGCCCTGCGCCCCTGCAGGTTAATAAAGCTGAGGCTGCAGGTTGTCATCTCTGCTCCCGGCCGCTCAGTGCAAGTGCAGCAGCAGGTTGCACTGGGCCAGCTGGTCTGGGGCGGGGGCAGGGTCAGGCTCGCGCTGGCCTGCGGAAATGGCCCGTGTGCGGAGGGCTGGGGCACACACAGCCAGGGCAGCCCGGCGGCCGCTCGGCCTCTGCAGGCCGCTCTGGGACCCGCTGGGCAGCAGCCAGACACGGTGAACACGCCGCAGGCCGGCTGGGGAGGGGCCTGCCGCAAAGGACCGTATGGGCGGGGCGCCGCGACCCAAGGGACCTCCCACCCAGGCGAGGGCTGGCCGGGGCTGGCCAGCTCCCGCTTGGGCAGACTTCCAGGCGCTCTGCCCGTGGACGGGACACAACCACCCACCCGTCAGTGACCGGCATGGGGCGACCAGGGACCCACGAAGCACAGGCCTGGCAGCCTCACTATCACCATTGCCCCTGCAGGCAGTCTCTCGAGGGGTGCGGTCGGCGGGGAGGCCTGCTGGACAGGCGCGGGAGAGGGCCGGCTGCACCGGGGTCAGCAAGGCCCCGCCCCTCGCCCACCTCCCACCTGCGAGCGCCGTGGCTGCCTCTCCGGCTGGTTGCGCGACACTGGGGGTGTATGGGGTCAGCTGAACTGTCCAGACAGGAACCCCATGCCGCCGGCCACGTAACCCACGGCCGGTGTCTAAGCGGGGATACCCGGCGCTGGCGCCGCCTAGCACCTCCCCAGCCACGTGGTGTCCACGGGCCTTGGGTGGAGGCCGCGAGCTTCCCCAGGGACCGGCGCAGGCGAGCCGCAGGCGCAGGGCCGGCTGGGGCCAGCAGAGCTGCCCAGAGACGCACTCGGGTCTTTCAGCTTGTATTTGCGTCCACACACACCGCGCGGCCAGCGGGCTCGCGCACACCGCAGCATGGGGCTGCGGGGCGCTGCGGGGCAGGCCAGGGGTTCTCAGTGGGGGGCAGGCGCCGCCTGGGCTCAGGCGTAGTGGCCGCCGGGCGCCAGGGGGTGGTCCCCTCTGTGGTCCAGCTGGTCCTGCAGGCGGGCAAACTCGGCCAGCTCGTTGAGCTCCTGGAACTGCCGGTCCGTCTTGTGGCTGACCAGGGAGCGGTAGAAGTGGACGGCGAACACGATGAAGACCAGCCCGAAGGGCACCATGATGGTGGTGGAGGCGATGGCGGCCGCCTGGCCCGGGGTGATGCCGCCCGCCGCGCCACTGCTGCCATTGGCCGCCGCGCCGCCGGCCGCGGGCTTGCCGGGGGGCCGCGGCTGGCCAGGCTGCCGCTTGAGGGGCAGGAACTTGACCCAGCAGAGCAGCACCACCTCGGCCAGGAAAAGCAGTGTGCCGATGACCGTGGAGAAGGCCCAGGCCAGCTCGATGTGGCGGTGCATGCGCTCGTGCGGCGACTCCTTGACGGAGTTGAGGTTGTGCACGTTGCTCACCGCCTCGATGTTGGGCAGGATGCAGGTGCTGATCATGAGCGCGAACAGGTGCACGGCCACCAGCACGGTGGTGCAGGCGCTGAAGGCGATGAGCAGCCCCGGCGGGTAGTCATGGTCGGCGTCCAGCTGCACCTCCACCATGGCCACCTGCGGAGGGACAGGCGGCTGAGGGCCGGCCGGGCCTGGCCCCGCCTCTCGCAGCTGGCCCCACCCCTCCAGTCCTGGCCCCTCCCCGCCCTGCTCCCCCAACCTCATGCCCCGTGTCCTCTGACCCCCACCTCCAGCCTGCACCCCAGCTCTCGTGCGCGTACGTAAGTCTTCTAAGAAATGAGCACTTATGTGTGAGTAAACGCATCTTAAGAAAAAGATTCTAGCACACGAGAGCTGGGGCGCAGGCCGGAGGCGATGGGGTGAGTGGACACCCCAGAGGCAGAGTGGGGTGCAGCACAGCGGGTGCCCCGAAGCACATTGCCAAGGCGGGGAGCGGGGGATGGGTCCCTCCGGCGGGGGCTCGAGCCCGGCGCCCCGCATAGCCCTGAGGAGGCCCGTGGGGAGTCCGACAGGGCGGCCGCCTGCACTGGGTCGAGGCGCGCTGTGGGGTCGCTGGGCCCAGGAGGGGCAGGGACGGCGCCGGCAGAAGCGCCCCCGACCTGCCGCACGCCGGCCGGTGGCGCAGCTCGCCGGGTTCTGAGAACACCTGGCGCCGGCACCGGCCCTTCCTAGAAGACACCGGCCGTGGCCAGTGCCCCCGGACAGCCCAGAAGCCCGAGGCCGCGGGCACACGCCTGGCAGTGCCCCACTTCCTGGAGCCTGCGGTGAGGTCATGGGGGCACGTCCGGGCAGTGACCAGATAGCGGGGGCCAGCTCGGGGGTGCAGGCGGCCTCAGGGCAGGGACACCGAGCCGGCCTGGCAGGGCCTTCTGCAGGGCCGCTTGGGGGGCTGGCTCGGCCCTGCCCACAGCAGCCCTGCGCCCACAGGGCCTGGGGGCCATGCGGACCGGCGCAGGCCTGTGTTCCCGCAGGCCGGGCTCGGCCAGGCTCCCTCCCCGCGGGGCCGCAAGGCGCGGCAGGGGCGTGGTCAGAGTGGCTGACCACTGTGTACAGGGCTGGGGTCCTGCCCTCTGCTGCCCAGGCCGGGGCGGGGTCGGCTTCCTGCGACCTGCCCCCCCCACCTCCCCAAGGCTGCTTGAGGTCCGCCCTGTCCCAACCACGGCCAGGGAGGGGCCCCTGTCCAGGCAGCCCCGGCAGCAGGGGTCTCGGGGCCCCGCCTGGTCTGTGCCCCAGTCTCTGGGTGTCCCCTCGCCTGCACCCCGGCTCTTGTGTGTGTGAATAAACCTTTCAGACACATCAAACCCCTCTAACGCCGGCGGACACGGGCTGACTGTCCGGCGGGACAGCCCTACCGGGGGAGGGCCCCGCAGCCACAGGCTGCCAACCCCGGTGCTTCCTCGCGGGGCTTTCAGCCGGCGCCGCCCGCCTGCGCTTCCTTTTCCTGTTTTGCTGCCGCCAACAGAAGGGCCCCAGGGCGCCGTCCGCCAGGCCCAGACGATGGGGTGGGCACCGCAGGCCACTGCCCACGGCCACTGGCTGCTCTGCGTAGGGACAGGGCGGCTGTCCCAAAGCTGCTGGGGGCCTGGCCGGCACCCCGCCCCATGCCAGCGCCAGCGCCACCACAGGGGCCCGCTTTCAGGGTCGTCAGGACCCAACCCAGGGACAAACAGAAAGCCCAGGGAGACCTGGGAGGTGGCCGCAAGTGGGGGCGAGGGCCGCCCGAGACAGGGTGGGGGACAGAAGAGGGGGTCCACGAAGCACACTGCTGGGTGGGGGACAGTGGGGGATGGGGGTCTGTTACGCCCGGGCCCCTCCTGGCTGGGGCAGACTCGCGCTGTGGGGGCTGGGCCGGCTCTGCGGTGCTGGCCCACTGCCCATTGGGGCCAGCACCGTTATTCTTCACGAGTGAGGACGCTACAGCCAGGGCCAAGGTCACTGCCCCAAGGGCCGCACGGTATGCAGGGCCGGACCCCGCCCGCTGGCCCTGAGGCCCTGACACAGTCCCAGCAAGGGTGGCAGGCGGTGAGGTCACCGGGAGGCCCCGTCAGCAGGCCAGCTGGCCCTGGCGTTCTGGGCTCAGACCGGCCACACCATCAGCACGAGAAGCCATCGCCACCTGCAAGCTGCCCGCTGGGCATCTGCGCAGCCGCCACAGGGCAGACCGGGGGGCTCGCCGGTGGTCAGCGGAAGGCCACTGGGCCTGGCACTGGGCGCCCCCAGCCTCGCCCACGCACATGGCTGCCTCAGTGGAACAGTGCCACCCCGCCGAGGCCAGCACCAGCTCCGAGCACCTCACTGGGGCCCAGGGCCGCCAGGGCCAGCAGGGTCCCCTGCCCGGCCCGGAAGAAACCCCATCACCCGTAATTCCTGGAACCGCCGGGCGGCCGGCTGGCCCATCCACTCTGGGGTCCGATCGGCCGTGGGCGGTGCCGAGGGCGACTGAGAGCCAGGCGGCCGCCGCTCACCCGGCCAGCAGGGCGTCTCCAGGGAGCCCCCACCTGAGGCGCCCGCGCTGCAGGTGACCCCGGGGCCTCCAGGGGTGCGGCAGGCGGCTGGGCCGAGGTAAATATAGCAGTGCCGTGGGCCCAAAATAGACGCTCAGCAGCGTCCAGCAGGGCCCGGCACCGCCTCCAGGCCGCAGGGGCAGGCGAGGCCACCCTCGGCGGCGTCCAGGGCCCCGGTGGGCCCGGAGGGCAGGACTGGCCAGCCGGCCGTCAGGGAGAGGCGACTCGCCCCACCCGGAACTGAGGCCACCGGCTGGCCCCGGCGGGTCCCTGGTCTTTGGCCACCACGGCCCAGCTGCTCTAAACAGAGGCACACGACCGGCAGAAACATCCTCTCGGGTGCAGCCAGCCCCCACCGCCCCGCCACAGGCACCCCGCTCTTCTGCACTGAGGGAAGACGCTTGGCCCCGGCGGCGTCACGCCGGCCAGGGAGTGACCCGGGGCCAGCAGAGCCCTGTCCCTGCGGCCCCCAGCAGTGTTCAGGGGTCTGCCCATCCTGCTCCGCCCTCTCTGGGGCGTCTGCTCACACCGCACCTTGGGCCGCGGCCCAGTTTTCAAGCACCTGCACACTTTAATACAGCCACACCGAGGTCCACGCCCGGGGCCGCGGGGGCGCCCCGCACAGGGGGGCAGGGACAGGGCACGCCCTGGCTCCCCGCCAGTCTGTGGCAGGTGCTACCTCCTAGGCTGCACCCCTCGGGCAGGGACGGCGGGGGTCAGTCTGGCGGGAAGGCAGGGGAGCTCTACTGAGAACCACTGCGTGTCCGGGGCGCCCGGCCGGCCAGCTGCGGTCAGGTGGGAAAAGCCACTGCCCGGCTGCCCTTGCCGGCCTCTCCAGACCGAGCTGGCGGCCCCGGTGGCCTCACCCCCGCACCCCCGGTCCGCGGGCAGGGCTGTGGCGATGACCCCTGCAGGGAGCCGCTCGGCCTGGGCAGCGGGCAGCGCGGCCTCTCGGACCACCTGGGCCCCTGCGCCTGGGAGCTGGACCCTGGCCAGCAGGACCAAGCTCGGGAGCCCAGGGGCGCCACAGGCACAACCCCAGGTGAGGGGGCCCAGGGAGTCGGGGCCCCCTGGGGTGAGGGGGCCCAGGAGAGTCAGAGGCCCCCGGGGTGAGGGGGCCCAGGGAGTCGGGGGGCCCCGGGGTGAGGGGGCCCAGGGAGTCGGGGGCCTCCAGGGTGAGGGGGCCCAGGGGAGTCGGGGCCCCCCGGGGTGAGGGGGGCCCCCCGGGGTTAACACAATGCAGCAGCCTGTTACCCTAGAACCTCCCCTGGCTCCCACCGCCAGAGGGGTCGACATTCCCAGCCGTGGCCCCCCAGCACCAGAGGCCATCCCCGCGGAGCCTCCCAACCCCTCAGGGGTGGCCATCAGAGATCCGCCTGGCCAGCTCCTCACTCGGCCTCTGGGGCGCACCCCGCTCAGTGCCAAGTAAATAAACCTCAGGAGAGTGGGTTGGTGACGGCCAGGCTGGGCCTCCACCGTGTCTGCGCCGGCAGGCCCAGGGGCGCCCGGTGGGGCACAGGCCCCGGCAGAGCGGCGGGGGGCTGGGCGCGAGTCCCCGGGGCCGTCCCCACTGCCCGGGCCGGACCAGTCCGCCGTCTGGCCCCGGCACCCCTGTTCTGGGCGGCTCCTGCAGCCTGAGCCTTCACGCCCCGGCAGGGAGCCCCGCCACTCAGGCCAGTCCCGGGGGGGGCGGATGCCCTGAGCCCCCCAACCGAGGGCCCAGGGCCCACGCTCCCTGCTCCCACCACATTCCAGCGCCCACAGGGCGGCCGGCTGGGGATAATCCAGAAATACTTGGTCTGCGGGGAGGCTTCTCCTGGCCGGCAGGCGGCCCCTGCCACCGCTGCTGGGCCACGCCAGCCCCCCGGCCAGGCCGGCTGGCCCCAGGTGAGCCCAGGGCACCTCAGGAGGCCGCCTGGCCGCCCCGGGTGCTGACACTGGCCAGCCAGCTGTGCCTGGGACACGCAGGCCCGGAGTCCCGCCTGCAGGCGACAGAGGGCCCAGCAGCCACTGTCCCTCATCCCCTGGCAGCGACGCCTGCCGCTGCGGCCACCCTGGGCCCGGCCACCTCTCCCCGGCCAGGAGGCCTCCAGGGTCGAAGCGGCGCTGAGTCGCATGGGACAGTGACCAGGGCATGGACCGGGTGCGGGGCACAGGCAGCCCTGCCCTGGCCGCTGCCCGGCCTCCTGGACGCTGCACTTGACCACCGTGGGAAGAAAGTGCCAAGGAAAGGGGAGCAGAGGCCTGCGCCACAACTGGGGCGTCGCCGAGAGGAGCCGATGACTTGGGGTCACGCCTTCCTTGGGCCGGCCCCCCGCCCCGGCCCGGCCTGTGGGGAGGCGGCCAGTGGGCAGCGCCAGGGCGGCCCACGCCAGGCCCCAGGCCCCACCAGCACACTGTGCGTTCCGAGCCTCCCACAGGGTGGGCACACGCTCAGCGCAGAGGTCGGGGCGCACAGCTTTCAGGGTGCTTGGCAGCCGCCAGCCGCTCCCAGAGTTCCTTCAAGCAGAAGCCGCCGGCTGTCCCAGCTTGGCATGGCCGGCGCGGGGCCGCACTCCCCAGGCCACCGCCACCTGTGGGCAGAGAC